CTCAGGATCTGTGGCCTCCCCTAGTTTCTCTTCATTTGGATTCCTTAACAATGTTCCGGATTTGAACCTTTCCCCCTTCACACCTCTTTGTCCGATTTCGTTGTAAAATCCTATCCTTTTGACCTCTTTGAAGACATTATTCCCTAATTTTTATCGAGAGTTTTCTTAGGTGACTTCGGTCATTTAAGATGTAATTAACTATAGGGGCTTGCCCTTATAGGGAGCTTTTCCGAACCCAGCTTAAAATAAATCCTATTTAATTCTTCTGTATTAAATAGGGGAACTTGTCGGCGAATAAAACGGTTTTGCAGACCAAACGGACGTCATATCTTTCTTAGTTTATTTGATCGAGCCTCATCTTCAAGTCTTGTGTTTATCCCTCGGGATAGATACAGGATTTGAGATAGAGTGCTCTTTCATTTAAACTGTGAAAAATATGAGGTCAGTTTGATTTCATATTTTTCTAAAATTATATATATATATATATATACGTAAATTAAAAAGTCCTTCCGAAGCGGGTGACGGGATTTCGATTCCGGCTGCCGACAGCTTCTTACGGGCGACCCCCCAACCAATCTTTCCCCTTTTAAGCGCCGACAGTATGCAAATCATCCATAATATATTGAATATGAATTTCAAAGTTAACTAAATAGTATGATAATAATTTGCCAGACTTTGTAGATATTTTGAAGAACAAGTATTTGCAATCATATTTAAGAAAAACGACATGCTAAAGATTATGAAAATTGTAGAGGAAACAAGATTCAAAAACATACAATAAAATTATGAGTGTCCTTCAGCCCTCTGTCTCTTTTCCATGCCTCTGAATCTTCCAGGAACATTGGATCTTTTCGTAACGGTGAAACTCGAGCAATTATATCCTCAGATTTGACAAACTTCACGACTTCGCAAGCATCCTCGTTATCCCGAGCAGGTAGATAAGGATTTTCGTGCAAACAATCAGAATTCTCAACTTTTTTAGCTTTAATTGCACTGTCATACCACTCGAAGTGGTTACAAGCTCCCTGACCCTATCAGGATTATAAATAAATCCAGTATCAGCCCACTAAACTAAGTAAATTCAACAGTAACAAAAGGTATATAGAGCCACCGTGGAAATAAATTTCATTTCATGTTCTTTTGTTTTGATGCATATAAATAATGATAGAGAACTCTCCTTTATACTTGTTGAAGATGGCTCATTTTTGTACATGATACATGCATATAGGCATAGTTTTGTACATTTTTTTTTTATTTTTAATATAAATGCATATTTCACGGAAATAAATTTCATTTCATGTTCCCAGAAACAACCATGTCACAACACAGAAATAAGTAAGGAAGATTTACATGCATACCACCCAATTCCCATGTATTTACAAATATAACACCTAAATTTTGACTTTTATATGCATAACATCTTAACTGTGCATGAAAAAGTGTATTTCAGTTTTTTCAAGTTAAATGGTGGTATAAATGTAAAAAAGCAAAGTTTAGATCTAGATATGTAAATACATACTAATTAGATGGTAGCCCCAAAAAGAATCCATTGTATGGGCCTGAAATGCGAGAAAAAAATCTGGCTGCCTAAAACCTTGATACAATCCTAACAAATGCGGCAGCTCAAATTTCCATCACAAAGGCAGGCATCATGTTGTAGGATGTTTTAAAGTTTAAGATTTCAATTCAAATATAACATTCAACAAATATATAGATACAACAAAATAAAGCCTCAATCAGTCAATTTTGATAGGACAAGCTAATAAACTTAATAGCCATTTTTTGTTCTGATTGAAATCGAAAAGCCATTAAATCCAATTCAGATGAGATTTCTGACTTTATAGAATTAATGAAAAAAAAATTAAGAGCATGCAAAACACATGACTCAAAGATAGCAAATTTTATTTGCACAGGTAACAATGTATAACCCCTTGTATCATGTTATTTTAAATTTCATGATTTAGGCTTTAAAATCAATATAAATAGTACTAATACTTTATTTATTGATTTTATTTTATTATAATTAGTGTTCATTAGGACATCTCTACAATAAATTAAACATCTGATAAGAGTTATATCATGTATTTGCAAGTTATCAGATAAAATTAGGTGAAATTTATGAACATTAGAATAGTCCATAGAAGTAATTGCCTATCAGGAAAGTTAGGAAAGGGAAAAAGGAAAGATGGTAAAAGATGGAGAATTGAATGATATATTTCTAATGAAAAGGATTGATGATAAATGGATAGTTAATTAGTTAACTAGTAGTAAGAAATAAATTAAAAGGGATAGAAGCTGGAGGTGATGGCTTACGCTTCATAAGTTGAATTAAAAAATAAAATAATCAATTTTTGAAAGAGGAATAAATTATTACATAATCTATGGCTATATTTGACAAATAGGGATAGATGCTGGAGGTGATGGAATAGAAAATAAGGTTCTAGTAGGATTGGACATAAGAGGATTTGTAGTAGGCATATGACAGGAGATAAAAACATAATACAAAAATTGTACTTAAATTCACAGTAGAAAAGGCCTCATAATGGTGAAAACAAATATTGATACATGTAAAGAACAATTTGTAGCTTTAAAGAGTAAAGTAATCTAATATTTTTTGTAACTCCGTAGTTTGACACATTATGACTTCCATAATCTAGAACAACTCATTTTCCTTAAATATTGATTCTAGAACATCTCTTCTCCAAGTGTTTGAAATCTTAGTTTTAAAAACTTCATAAAAAGGTGTTGCTGACAAAACTATTCCAATGTCCATTTCTTCCATCTCAATGGATTTCTTAGTTGGATCTAAAGCTTTACATTTGTGCATTCTTTTTTGAAGTTTAATTTATGTTTCTTGGATGAATCTACACAGTACATAGTGGTTCTTTCTTCCTCTTAAGAATTTCACTTGATAATTTCTCAAGATGTTAGATTAATTTTTGTTTTATTTCATAATTGACTAAATCATTGTTTTAATGCTTTCCAAAAAGATGACATCATAATTTGATCTGTGTGGAATGAGGGCAATTGACATCGTTATGTGCTCAAGCAGCACATATATGCCTCATTTGTGAAAAACATATAAATATTACCTTATTCATCTGTATAAATGTAGTGATAGCTATTTCATACCGAGAAAAAATATAAAATAAGACACGAACATTTTCAAACAAGCCCTAAAGTCTTATTATTTGTTTTTCTCTTTGAGGGTCTATTTAACATGGTGGCTAGGGTCTCAATAGTGAACCACATTTATGTCGTGCGCTGCCACATTCTTCATGTGCTTGTGGAAACAATGCACACACTGGCAGTAACAAATTTTAACTCAATGCGGAACTTTGGCACGAATTTAACCATAGGATGTCGTCCAAACATTAATAATTAACTTTTCTTAATGGAGTTTAGTGCAACAGATGAAGCTTTAAAGAATAGTCGAGTTCCTCATGAATTTTCATTGTAAATATAACGTCTAATTTCAAATATCCGAGGAAAATGAAGCGAGGGAGAGAAAGTGAGGAGTGAAGAAATCGAAAAGGGGGAGTTAAAATGAGGGGACGGTCACTCAAGGGATGAATTCCCTTTATAAATTGTCACAGTTAACTTATCTGTAAAGTCGAATACCTATAGTGTTGTAATAACAAATATTAATAATAAATAATAAATAAAGGTGTGGGCGGTTAGAAGAGGCGCAACCCTCAGCGAAGCATAGTTACGCTCAGGAAGAAGTGTGTGAGAGATAGCGGGAGAGATCTATAGGTGGTTGGTTGAAATGGGTGATGGAGGTCGGCGAGGTAATCAAAGAGATAGTGGGTTGAAATGGGTAGGGGTGGTTGGGAGAGAAAAAGGAGAGACTAGAATCGCATTGGCAGCGAACCAGTGGGTTGAGACAGCTGGGGAAGCAAGTGAGGTGGCAAGCAGAGCGGCAAGGCATGGTGGGAAAGGTTGGAACAGCCGAGAGATAGCAGAAAAACAGCAAGTTTGCTGTTTTTTGGATGTTTTTTGGATGACAACAACGAAATGGCAAAGTGGGGGGCTACAACGAAGCAAAGGCAGTTGTCCAGGGTGGTGGGAGCGCGAAAGAAGAGCTAGAATGGGAAGAATTCAGTGAAACATAGCAAACGAGTGTTGTTCGGGGAGGCTACTGAGATGGAGAATGGTCGCCAGAGTCCTGAGTAAGATGCGGAATGAGATAGGGTGGACAATCATCACCTAGGGAGGCAGTTACAGCCGGAGCACCACCCAATCCCTTGCATACAATCCTTGAAGGGAGAAAAACGGACATCGGCGGTTGTCTTAAACAAAACACATAAAAAATTAACCCTAAAATATCATAAATACAAATATATAGTAATAGGATAGTGAGGAGTGGCCCAAGAAGACCACCCACTCCTCAACTATGAAAAAACCAAAATCGGTTAGGTCCAAGCGCAAAAACAATGCCCGCATGATCGTCGAAGGCTTTCCGCATATGGTTCATGCACGCATTATAGCGGAAGTGTCCCTGTACGCGGCGCTCTCGCGTCAGTCTCCCATTTTGGTGGAGTTTCGACCTCATCTGTTGAAGCTTCTATCATCTCATAGTATGGCATCAGATCGGTCATGTTGAAAGCAGTAGAAATGTAACAATTTCCTAATAAGTTAATCTTGTAGGTAGCATCATTACAAAGCACACCCTAATCGAATAAGTATCCATCCTCTTATGACACAACCTTAGCTGAAATAACATATGGATGGGAATTCTCACAAACCAAGCTTTGAGCCATCAAATCTGTAATTGGGTTTTTCTACTCTTCGTACTCATCCGAGTGTATATGATAGATAAGTATGTAAATTGGAATTAACTCTGGAATAAAATCTATGGCAGCTAGGTCACTCTAAAGTATAAACACTCAGGAGAAGCCCTTCTTCTTCTTCCTTGAAAGAACTTGGATCGCACTATAAGATGTTCCTTCCAACTAAGTTCCTAATGCAATTTCCAATACTCCGGGTCATCCATCATACCAGATCAGCATTTGATGGGTATACTGCTTAATTGATTTTAATACTCACTTCTAGAAATGAAACAGAAGAGTGTCATCTCAGACATATTGAACCTCCTTTAAAAGGAGCAACTCAAAAAGTAACATATATATCTGAAAAGTTTAAATTTCTCGTATTTTGGGTTGTCCTGTGTGTGATATTGACTACTCTAACTCATGATCGTCTGGATCTCTAATACCAATTCTACTGATGCTTCTCTCAACGCCAACAAAAAGATGATTTGTGGCATCACACATCAAAATCTGCACAAACGCCCATTACCTCGGAATCACTATCTTCTAGAACAGTCTCGACAAGTCAAGTTGGATTCTCTCTCGTTGGACAATCTTGAATCACTAGTGTTTTTACCTAGTCAACTAACAATTAAGAATCCACTATAAAATCTTCATTCTCTCGGATCATAGTTTGTTTTCAATTGCTCCCTGATTAGTGAAGAGATCATTCTCTTAATTATGAAATCTGATTCAATTTCTCAAATTGATGGCACTTGAAACACATTCTAGATGGGAAAGATTACAAAATACTGGTTAACTCCATATGTTTTCTATTTTGAATCAATTTTTCCTCAAGCGGGGTTAGCTTGGATGTTCCCTTGCGTGTACTCTAGATATAAGATTCAGGGGTTGAACTTTGTCTGTAAGAAGTGGTGGTTGTCCAACAATGTGGTCTTTACACTTTTGAGCTGACATCTAAATATTCGATCTATAGTGAACATGTAGTTACTGGCACTGCATCTCCCATTTAATCTTAAACCAAACAGATATCATATCTTTTCCATCACGGTGACATAGGTGCTTCAAATTTTACCACCAAAATGATGCACTCTTCTTTAATTTGATGGCAGCTAGTTTCACGATTATGTCTAGTGAGACATCTTGATACTCAAAAAAAAGTTTCATGGCCTGAAGCTACTCAATGAACTCGTCTACATCCAAATGACAATCAAAATGTGACAAATCCACTGTTATCTCAAAATACTAACTTCTAAGATATTTCAAGTCAATTTTTCGAGGTAGAGACTATTCATTTCTAAAATCTCTAACTGGCACTCACCCCTATATCCCTTAACAGACACTTCAACTATATAATCGAATAGAGTTCGGGTTAACCCCATAGGATGTTCTCCGTTACTTAATTTTATTGAGTCATTGTAGCACTCTGCGGAGTTGTCATTATATCTCTTCCATGTTAAACTCTTGACTCTAGCACTTGGCCAAGCGGTGGCACAGTTAGAGCTTGGGTTTGGGTATGTGGAAGGAGTGTGATTGTGATCTAAGGTGGGAAAAAAACATGGATGGAGATATGAGAGATGCTAGAAATCCTAATAGGACTAGAGTTATGTTAGTTCTGATATCAAGTAATACCAGAATTAACCCAAATCACAATAGAAAAACAAATAGGCGGTTACAAACAGACACTCTAGAAAGAAAAAATACAACAAACATGATACACAAACTCACATTAAGGCTCGATCCGTGAGTGGTAGAGGTCAGCTAGATGGTCAAAGAGCGGAGAGAGGGCTAAAATAAGTTGGGGGTGGCTGGGATAGCAAAATGAGAGGTTGGAATCATGTTGGGAGTGAAGCGTGGGGCTGTGACAGTGAGGGCAACAAGTGGAGTGACAAGCGGAGCGATGAGGGCGGTGAGAAAGGATGGAACATCTAGGGGCAGCAGGGTTTTTCGGATGACTGCAATAAAGGGCAGAAGCAAGGGACTATAGGACAACGGGCGGTTGTCTGGGGTGGTGTTAGGGAGAAAGGGTTGGAATGGGAAGACTGCGGTTAAAAAAACAAATGAGAGTTGTTCCGGGCAACTACAACGATGAACGATTGTCGGGAGCATCGCGAGGGAGATGCGGAAGGAGATATGGAAGATAATCACCACCTCGAGAGAGGGTTACAACAGGAACACTACCCAATCCCTCGAATATCGAAATGAAAAGAAAGGGCGTTGACGACTGTTCTAAGCGAAACACACAAAAAACAAACGCTTAAATATCATGAATACAAATATACATTACTAGGATAGCGAGAAATGGCCCAAAAGGACTGACTAACTCCTCAACTGTGACAAAACCTGGACCGACTCGATCCAAGCCCGAAACAATGCCTGCATGATTGCAGATAGCTTTTTGCGTCTGGTACTTGTACACGGAGCTCCTGCGTCATAATGTAAATGCCCTAAAGAAAAAAATAGTTGTGTTCTTTTCCAAATAAAATAAACACAATAAAAAGCAACTAATATGATTTGGAATGGATGTATTGTAATAAAAAAAAATAAAGGACTAAAAAGCAACTAATTTAGTCCAACTCCAAACATTTTATCAATGAACCAATCAAGAAGAGAAATAATAAGAAAACACAATGCTCATGCCAAAAAGTAATTCACTTATACCAAGAAACTAAAGGGGCATTAACATAAATACCACTCAACTCTCATAATATTTACATATTGAACTTATACTTTTTACATACATACCGCCCAAATCTTTCAAATTACATAATAAAACCACAATTTTAACTTTTAAATGTGAAATGCATCTTTTCGTGCGAAGGCAAGGATTGTACGTAAAAATTGAAGTGTGGGTGCCAGGTATATAAATACATAGGAATTGAGTGGTAAGTATGTAAACCTTCCAGAAGCTAATTCACCTTCTTTATAGGTATCTAACAACTGAATTTATACTTTTTACATATATAGCACCCAAATCTTTCAAATTACATAATAAAACCACAATTTTAGCTTTTAAAGGTGAAATGCATCTTTTCGTGCAAAGGTAAGAAGGCTTGTATGTAAAAATTGAAGTTTGGGAACCAGATATATAAATACATAGGAATTGAGTGGTAAATATGTAAATTTTCCAAAAACTAATTCACCTTCTTTATAGGGCATGCAAAATATTGTCTTCCAGCGTACTCGCCGTCATGCATGGTTAACCGGATGCACTTCCCAGCACCACAGGAGCAAATTGGGTTAGGATTATCACTACCATCGAGCTGATTGGCATGATTCATTGGGCTCTTAAGCTTAGAACTTTGACCAGAAGCAGCTTCATCACACCATTTAAAGAAAGCACATTGTTCACTCTGCCACAAAATCATGTATATTACAATTTGATTAACTAAATAGCCATTATTACTTAGCCTACATGGTTAAAACAAGAGTAAAAACAAAAGATGATGTGATACATGCATCAGGATCATTCAAGAATATTTTTAGAAAGTTCTAATATTTTATATTATTCCAAAGTTAACATATTTTATTAGAGAGTATAGCTCTTTCTATGTAGTAGAGGAATAAGTGCAGTGTTCAGAAATAAAATAAAATAAATATACACCACTTGCTGAGTATAAAACAATTTCCTAATTTGATATTTTAATAAGCTAACACTCCTCTACGAGCTAGAACATATATGTTCATTAATTTTAAGTTTTTAAATAATTGAGAAAAAGCCAAGGACCAAAAACTGAAGTAAAAATATCAACTTTTCTAAACTAAAGATATGGAGGATAAAAGTCTTCTTAGAAACCATAGTCCCTTGATGGAATAAAAAACAACCTCTCTATTTTTGGTTTATTCACCGAATAAAGGAGCATTTACATACATACCACCCAATTCCTATGTATTTGCATCTCTAACACCAAAAGTTTATTTTATACATTTATACCACCCAAATATTTCATATCACATCAGAAATAGCACCATTTTAACTTTTTAAAAGTGAAACATAACTTTCATGCATAGGTAAAGTGTTATGAATGTAAAAATTAAAATTTTGGTGTGAGATATGTAAAATACCCAGAAGTTGAGAAGGGGTATGTATTTAAATCTTCCTAGAATAAAAAGTTGTGCCCATTTATAAGATTGCACGATTGTCACAAATAAGAATATAGAGTGATTAATTGGAAAATCAAACTCCACTAAGAGAATATTTACCCACATTATTTCGCAAGAGAAATGGACCATAACTCCATTTTTTTAATTCAGCACAGGACGAAGCCACAACAATTTGTTTCTTACTTTTCCAAGCGAGTGTACTACCTCGACTAACAATAAAATATGCCAGCATTAAATTCAAACAAACTATTCCAGCATAATCAATATCTGAGAATATTTACACAAGAAAGTGTTTAGTCATGGTGCAAAGCAACTCTTCTTTCCATTAGCATATTCGATATAACTAAGAATGCATAAAATAATTCTTGATGTGTGCTAGAAAATTCGCGGTGGTAGAGTGATAGATTATCATCTTAACATTGCACAAAGATTCAACACACACTCAAATGAAAAGGAATCAACCTATGATGACACCATAAGATTTTACGTGGAAAACCCTGAAAAACCCGTAAAAAGAAAAAACCATGCGGTCTGACCCAATTAAAAAAATTCATAAGTTGACGATTACAGAGGCCCCTTGCCCCACAGACAAGAAATTGTAACTAGATTTTCCAAGTTACAACGTCAACTGACGGCGTCTAGTTGGCGGTGATCGACGGTAATCAACGACAATCGATGATGGTCGGTGGTGGTCGACGATAGATGACGGAGGTTAACGGAAGTTGACGGTGGTCGATGGAGGTCGACGATGGTTGACGGCGGACGGCAGTCGGCTAAGGTCGAGGACGCTCGGCGGGGACACTGCCGCTACTGGTCGACGGCGGCCGGCGGTGGTCGTTAATGGTCGGTGGTGGTCGACAGCGATCGACGATGGCAGAGATGATGTTGGAGTTGAACTTCTTCTCAAAACCTCAAGTTCTCTCTCAAGCCTCCCCCTCTCATGTGAGTGGTGGGGCTCTATTTATAGTATTCTGGATGCAATTAATGCAGGAATATGAATCATTTCGATCGGACGGTCCAGAGAGCTTCCCTCGATCAGATGGCGTTTGATGGACATTTGAGTGCGTTAACGATGTCGGAATTGAGCAATCTTGGGCTCATTGGATTTGTCTTGTCAAGATGCTCGATTTGAGTAACAACTCACTAGATTCGACAACCACTTAATCTTTCAAATTCCTCCGGAAATCATCTAAGAGTAGTTTAATGATTTAATCTGAATTTGATCTAATTCAGTCTGAATTAGTTTTTATATCATTGGGCCCTTCTCATCGAGCCAGTCAGTTTGACTATAAGTTTACTGAAATCGAAGCTTTGTATGACTTTTCATCAAGATTTGCATATTTCTTGCTCAAAATATTGCCTTGAGATTCGTGTTGGATGATGAAAATTTGTTAGTCATATCAGTTGCCCCCTATTTTCAGGCGAGTCCAATTTCATCGTTTGAAAATATCCACGTTTAGAATTTTTTCATTTTTCAATTTATATTACTTTACAACGTAAGTATAAGAATAATATAAATCCAAACTTAAACAAAGTGTTGCATAACTCAGTTGGTTGTGGGTTTATTGCTCCATACAGAAGGCGCGGGTTCGGATCCTGCGCCAAGCAGAAATATTAGAAATTTTTTATGGGCTTAATTTCGAACCCGATGGGCCAGGCTAGAAATCTGACTGAAATTAAGACCCGATGGGCCAGGCTAGAAAACCGAAAATTAAAAAGAAAAACTGAAAATTGAATAAATGAAGCAGCTTATAAATATATATATAAATATTTTAGAAACTATTTTTTTTAATGAGCTGCAATTTTTTTTTAATGAGCAGCAATTTTTATTAATTGCTTTTAATTAATGTAGTCTTTAATGGGTTTGTTCTTTTTTAGCATATAAATAAGCTAAAGAGAAGAGAAAAATGGTGTAGTCTTCATTCCTGCCTAGTAGGTGATTCGGGATTTCCCAAAAGAAGAAATATGTTCTTGTCCTGAGTAGCAGACAAGCAACGGGATCTTCTTTTTTGTTGCGACGAAGAGTTGCGGCGAAGTGTTACGACAAAGAGTTGCGGCGCAGTGAAGTGTTGCGGTGAAACTTTGTTGTGTTGTGTCGCGGCGACCGACGTGTTGTGACTAAGCGTCGTGGCGTGGCGTTGACGCGAGTCAACTTGTTACGGTGGAGCGTTGCGGCGGAGCGATGCGTTGCGGCAACGGTGCGTTGCAGTGGCGCAACGCATTGCGGTGGTACGACACATTTGATGTCCAATGTCATGTAAGAAGATTACCGTGAGATAAATCACCAGTGGTCTTTAACTTTGCTGAGGCGATACATCATAATGTTACACGATGATGTTAACTTATATAGGAAGAGCCAACGGAAGTCCATCAAAGACTTATCAACCCATCCGAGGTTGTTTGTTGGAGCCTTGCTCGCTTACGAACCTGTGTGGAATGGGTCAGGTGTAGTTCACCAAGGATTGTTAACCTATCCAGGGTTATTTACCTGAGTAAAAACTCGAAGATGTTAACCCACATAGAAAAGGTTAGATCAAATTCCCCTGGGATTGATCGTGCTCTAACTAAGATAGAACCGGAGTTATGTATTTCTCGAGTCGAGAGCATGAAGTGACTCGTGAATGAGTCATGACACTTTCTAAAAACATCTTTTATGTATAGGAAAGTTAGTGAGCAATATTTGAGATACATTGATTATGTATGAGTTACAATATAATAACATATGTGGACTACATGACTAGAGTGTTACTGATAGTACTTGCGAAGATTTTCTGCATTCGAAGTCGAGGGCAAGATTTTCTCATCTGAATCCTTGAGCTTAAAGGTTTCAGGCTTGATCATGTCAGACAATACATGGGCCTTCCCAGAGAGGTGATAGTTTATTGCGTTGGGTACCATGGCCAGCGGCTTCAATACTACGCAAGACCAAGTCACCAATGGAAATAAGTCGAGGCTTGACTCTCTAGTTGAAATGGCGAGCAACTCTTTGGCGGTAGAAAGCAGCTCTAAGATGGGCCACATCGCGTGTTTTTAGGTGGAGATCCAAATGTTGTCGAAGCTTTTCCTCGTCATATGAGTCGAAAGTCTTAACTCGCAGGTTTGAAACTCTGATATCAATTGAGATAATAGCCTCAGTGCCGAAACACAAGTTATATGGAGTTTCCCCGGTTAGAGTTCGCGCGGTGGTACGATAAACCCAAAAGACATTGTGCAGCTCTTCTACCCACTGCCCCCCAGCGTTCAAGACGAGTCTTCAATCCCTTGAGCACCGTCCGATTTGTCACCTTTGTCTGCCCATTTGTTTGGAAATGCGTCACGACAATGTGCACCAACTGAATGTGAAGATCCTTGCAAAATGATATGAAGTCCTTCCAGTGAATTAAGTTTCATTATCAGTGATAATCTTCACGGGAAGCCTAAAACGACAAATGATATTTTTTCCAAAAAAATTGTTTGGCATTTGCTTCAGTGATCTTGGCGAGCGGTTCTGCTTCTACCCATTTGGTGAAGTAGTCAACAGCTAAGATGATGAATTTTCGTTATCGAAAAGCAATTAGAAATGATTCCATAATATCTATCCCCCATTGGGCGAAAGAACAATGACTCAGAAATGATGTGAGTTCTACCGGCGGCGCATGCATAAGATTAGAATGTAGTTGACAACTCTTGCATTTTTATATAAACTCTAACGCATCTTACTTAATTGTGGGCCAGTAAAAACCTTGCTTCATTATTTTAAGAACAAATGTCCTGCCACCAAGATACTCCCCACATATTCAGAAATGAACCTCTTGTAGAGCGTAATCAGTTTCAGATGGAGGAAGACACTTGAGATATGGACCTACAAATGCATTTTTATACAGTTCATTCCCGATAAGGATGAAATTGACAGTCATGCGTTGGATATGAATTGATGTAGTAGCATCATCTGGCAGTTTTCCGTCTCGGAGGAAGGAGATGATGGGATCCATCCAAGCTGACTCCTCTGAGTCATCTATAAATAATATCACCCATGGGCCATGGATGCTAGGAAAATGTATTTTCTCAATACACCTTTTGTGGAGATCTTCAGTTGTTGAAGTTGCGAGCTTGGAGAGAGCATCAACTCGGGTGTTATGCTCCCGAAGTATGTGAATGAGCCGACGTGTTTCAATTTGACGAATAGTGTTTTCACCAAATTGAGATACTACACCAGCTAAGAGTTATGAGCATCAAAATCTCTCTACTTGGGATGCGATGAGTTGAGAAT